AAAAAAAAAGTGTGAAGATAAAAGTCTTTTCACATAGCATATATCCAGTCATGGAATGATGTCCTTGTTTGTCTGGGTGGTATATAATAAAGAAATAGAGTTGGTAAGTATTGGTATCTTGTATTTTTAAGTCCACACTGACCCATTTACAAAATAAAGTCATATGATAGAAATATTTTCAGAATATAAAATAGAAAGATGTCTTAAAATTTTTGGGTATATGTTTTGCAAAATATGATATTGAAGGCCATGTATTTAGTAGCACCTTTATTGTATAATAGGGTGGGTGTGGAAATCATCTTTTGATACTTGTTTGTGCCACTTCTTTGCCATGAACAAGCTGTATACCTCTGTGAACTCAGTTTCTTCATAGTAAAATAGCTACCTGGGTGACTTTTAATGAAGAATGTAGAGGCAATGACATGTTTGGGTGGTGTTTTAACACAAATTAAGCATTGAAAAAAATGTTAAATCTCCCCTTCCCTTTTAACCAAAACTATGAAAAATAAATATATGAAAATTAACAGTTTTACTGAGATATAATTCACATACCATATAATTCACTCAAAGTAAGGAGATTTGAACTTAAAGATCTACATGGGAAAATTTAATGATGCTTTGCCCATGTCTACACATACCCTTCCTTCTCATTTTCCAGTCTCTTATTGTATTCCTTTGTACACTCATGTATACACGCATGCATGTTTTCCTGAAACTGGGATATGCCTTTTTGTTTAAAACAAAAAAAGAATTTAAAAAGTTCAAAATGCAAGTGGTGAAAGTTGGCAACTTTGGAAATAAATATTAGTAATTATTAATGGATCTGTGAGACTCAAGGACACCCTTGGTAGAGGGGGCATGGCTAGATTTTCAGTTTGTGGCTTTTTCATAGGAACTTCTGCCATGTCCCACCAACCTCTCAGCTGCCTGACTGAAAAGGGGGACAGTCCCATTGAGACCACAGGAAATGGACCCCCCATTCTGGCTCACCCCAGCCTGGATACATTCACCCCAGAGGAGCTGCTACAGCAGATGAAGGAGCTCTTGGTTGAGAACCACCAGCTGAAAGGTGAGCAGCCACTCAACCCGTATTCTCCACTCACCTGGGGCCTTTATGAAACATAATTCCTTTGTAACAAGTCTCCTACATGAGCCCAGATGGCTTTTGGTAGGGCTAAAATGCTTTCTGTTATTTACCTCTTGATAACGTAAGAATAAAACATATTCTGTCAGGGACTGGTGATGTTGTTCAGTAGCAGAATGCTTGCCTAGCATGTGCAAGGCCCTGGGATGGATCCTCAGCACTGCAAAAAAAGAAAAAGAAAAAAAAATTCTATCTCAGGGAAATAGTATAGTGACATTTAGTCTATAAAGGGGGAAAAGAAAGGAAAGCTTCTTTGAATACAGACTTAGTCCTAAATATTACCTATTCGTAGGAAGCATTCTGATATGTCAAACTATGGCTTTTGGCAGAAAGGGTGTTCTCATCACAGAGTGATAGGACCTTCCTTAGTCTCCTAGTTAGAAATGGGAATTTGGGCTATAGTGGAGGTATCCAAATCAATTTTTTTTTCTTGATACTTTGAGGACTAGAAATGTTCACTAGTCCTGTCTGAAAGCAAAAACCACTCACTTTGATATAATCTTTCTCCTGCTGACCCTTGGGCCCAGGCCAAGGCTGGCCTGTTT